AGGTACCGATTCCGCTACTCCACGGACCTCTCCCGGGAAGCGTTCTGACCAGAATTTCGAATCGAATCCAACTTTGGCGACGGGTGCCTCCGATGAGGCCCGAAAAAACGAAAACGGGGCGAGGATAGCGGTACTAGCATGGGCTCCTGTTCCTCCTCTGGGCTGGAGAAGGGGCGTGGGAAATAAGGAAGCAAGCGTGGCATCGCCTCCTCGCAGCTGGCACCTCTGCGAGACCACCACCCCTGGCAAGGGGCACGGCCTATGGCGCCCTCGCAGCCTCCTGGCCTCGACCAAGGGGGGCACGCACGCCATCCTGGATCCCAGGACGGCCCCGGCCAGGGGTGGTGGACCTCCTCCTCCTCCTCGTCCTCCCCGCCTCGTCCTCCTCGTCCTCCTCCTCCTCCTGCTCATCCCTCTCCTCACTTCCTCCTCATCCTCAACCTGCTCTTCCTCCTCCTCCTCCTCCACATCCTCCTTCTCCTCCTCCTCCTCCTCCTCCTCCTCCTCCTTTGATGCACTGATGCACTGGTGAGTTCAAAGCTCAGAGCTCACCAAAACACGTGTAAAAAGGGGGTCTATGGACGCACCGCAGAAAAAAAAAAGGAAAACCGAGAGGAGGGAAAAAAGAGGGTAACAATAATAAAGATGCGTCCGAAATCCCCGGCCTGGGCGAGCCTGCTTTGCCCTGGCGCTCGGAGTACCGCCTGGCACCCGTCCAGACAATGCCCGCCTCCCTGGGCGATGCCTCGCTCACGCTGACCTCCCCCAACACCCCGCTCTCCCCCGCTCTTCCCACCCCCATTCGAACAGAGCACGGGCTGCGGCCGCGCCGTGCTGCTCCTGCTGCTGGCGGTGGGAGGAGGACGGAGGAGGAGGACAAGAGACCTTTAACAGCTAGAGAAGCCCGAGGGACTCTAGCAGGAACACGTAATACTCGAAACGACCCTCGTCGCTGAGGTGTTTAAGGTGTGAAGGGTAAAGCGGCGCTGCCGCTCAGCCTCATGGCAGGAGCTCGGGAGCCTGGCTGAAACGGAGGTGCCGCCTCACCGCCTGGAGCAGGCTCACCGCCAGGCCGTAGAAGCTCCTCGCATGGCTGGCGTCGCACGACTCCAAGTAGGCGGTGATCATGTCCCGCCCGACCGCTTCCTCATTGAAGGGGTTGTACTCTATGGGCAAACTCCTCTTCACGATCGAATGAGCAAGCTGGTACATGCAGAAGGGTTTCCTACCCGACTGCTGACTGCGGGCGGAGGTGGATGTGTCATCATCCTGAAGAGCACTAGGCACTGCAGATATTGCGGTGGCAAACTCCTGTGCCTTCCCCTCGCTGGCGCCCATGGGATGCTCTTGCGCCTCGAAAGGCCGTGCCCTTCCCCGTCCGCGTCGAAGGAGTCCTCGGAGGAGGTACGCGAGGTCCCCGAAGAGACCCCAGGATATTCAGAGCGGAACTCGTCCTCCACGTCGCCGCTGCTATTGAAAATCATGGGCCCACTGACCGAACCTCCCATCTTCAGGGGCTCCCCGATATCCATGTCCACGGCGATTTCATTGATATTCTCCTTGGGTGCCAAGTCGTACCGATCGCTGTCCGTGACAAGCGAAACCAAACCACTGTTGTCCGACTCGTGCCCCGATGCGGGAGCAGGATGCACAGCAGCACGAGCGGATGCAAACCAATCCTTGAGGCGGCGCAATACATCATCTGCTGCACCTGGGTGCCGAAGCAACGCAAAAGCACCACGTGCTGCTTCCCAGGACGGCCACAAGCTCGGCTGCGGCGCCGAGCACTGCCTGGGCCTCGATGTCCAAGTGAGGAAGATCAACATGAGATGACGGGGCAGCGGCAGCAGGAACTCTGTCAGTTCTACCAGCTCGCTCTGTCATGGCCGTCATCAGATCGGCGGCCTCTCCCAGTGACTGAGCCCAGGCCACAGCCTCGCCATGTTCTGACAGCAGTGCCCCGACGAGGCATGGGATATGAAGAGGAAGTGAAAAGCCCTCCCTCTTCCTCCTCCTCCTCCTGTTCCTCCTCCTCCTCTTCTTCATCCTCCTCCTCCTCCTCCTCCTCTTCTTCATCCTCCTCCTCCTCCTCCTCCTCATCCTCCTCTTCCTCTTCCAACCCCTTCTCCTCCTCCTCCTCCGCCTCCTCCTCCTCCCCCTTTCATTATTGTTTTGACGATGATCGGACATGAAGCACAGTGCTCGCTGCGTCCCTCTTCCGGCGCGCGGAGGAGGCGCGCGGTCCTCCCCCGCGCGCACTTGTCTGCAGGAACCGCGGGAGGGATGGAGAGAGGAGGATGGACGAGGAGGAGGAGGAGGAAGAGGAATAGGAGGACCAACGTAAACCCAAGAGTCGTCGATGATGTTGAAATAACCCTCCCTCCAAAATCCCTCTCCACAGGCCACTGCCACGGTGAGTTTCCATTGAAGGAACCGCTTCTTTGGAAGACAACCGTTTGAAGACCCTGAAGAATACCAAAGTACAGTTCTCGGGAATCCAACGCCACGGGTCAGCCTGACCCTTGCGTCTCGGCAATTCTGAATCGTGACAGAACACCATTCCTGGGACGTCAACATAGCGAGCAAACATAACTGTTGCACCCGCATAATCCTGAATCTTTTCAAAACACGATTTCAGACACGTTTAAAGCAAATGTGCGCTGCGCTCAAGCGAGAACACCATGTTGAAAAAGAACCGCCCTCAATCCGTGAAACTCTTGCAATTGTTGTTAAACGAATGTGCGCCGCACTAGGGCGAGAGCCACATTCTGAAAACAACCTGCCCTCAATCCGTGAAGCTCTTCCAAATGTTTGTTTAACGACTGTGCGCCACGCTAAGGCGAGAACCACAGTTTGAAAACCATCCGCCCTCAATTAGTGAAACTCTTGCAATTGTTGTTAAACGAATGTGCGCCGCGCTAAGGCGTGAGCCACATTAGAAAAACAACCCGCCATCAATTTGTGAAACGCTTGCAATGTTTTTAAACGATCGTGCGCCGCGCTAAGGCGAGAGCCACATATTGAAAACGACCCACCCTCCATCTGTGAAACTGTTGCCAATGTGTAAGCTTCCGAATCATAAATGGTGAGGAAGTCTCAGGCGCAACGCCCGGCCCGCCTTTAAAACTGGCCTCGGGGTGCGACAGGGAGAACGTTTTGACGAGGAAAAGGGATTGAGGAGGAGGATTGGGGATAGAGGAAGAGGAGGAGCATGGAGGAAGCGACTTCGAAGTCCGCACAGACTTCTTGGGTTGGCGCTGGACCCCCTTCCCCGCACTCCCGACCGGGCGCGCGGCGCGCGCCAGGGGCGGCGGCGGATGCGCTGTCCAGGGCTGTGCGGACATCCAAAGGTGCATGGTTTCCCCCCACATGCTCTAAATGTGGGACTTCGCTTATCAGTCTCTGCATCGCCCCTCCCGCATCCTCCCTTCCACCCCAAAAGCACAAAATCACTCACACCGGGAGTCACATTCAGGCCCACTCCCTCTCAGACTTACCCGTGCTCAGACTCACTCGTGCGCAGACTCCCGCATACTCAGCCTTACCCAGACTCGCTCAAAATCAAGACGCCCCAAGACTCTGGGTGCGTTTGCTGTCAGGAACCCGTGATCACCGCGACGAAGCAAGCATTGCTTTTGGGCCACCTGAGGGTTCGGTCGGGCCTGTCCCCCTACAGGGGGATTTTGGATGCAGAATTAAGAATAGCCGAACAATCCTCCAAAATCAACAAACATAGTCCGAAAATCGTCCCCAGACCATGTTTTTTTGATCATTTTTGAAAACTCCTCCTGTAGAAGGACAGGCCCGACTGAACACAAGGGGTATCCGACCAAGGGTGTCTCGGGGGCCCGCTCGCACTCGCACCCTCGGGATGCCCCAAAGGGAATCCCTCGCTCGCGGCTGGACGCGCGGCTCTGGACTCTTCAACAGCCCCCCGTGATCACCGCGCTGTGGCAAGGACGGCACGTCGGTCGCACGTAGGAGGAGGAGGAGGAGGAGGAGGAGGAGGAGGAGGAGGAGGAGGAGGAGGAGGGAGGAGGAGGAGGAGGAGGAGGAGGCATCCCAAAGGGGAGTCGACAGGTAAGACCCCTGTCATGCCCAGGCCCACTTGCAGACCCTCGGTCGGCCGTCCTTGCCCCATCCCGCTCGTACTCAGTTTCGATCTCATCCCAGACACTCGTAAAGATAGACCTTGTCAGTGCGTGGGACCGCCGCGCCGAACAGCTGAAACATTCGAGGGCAGCTGCCCCGCGTGGCGCGTGGTTATCGGCGGCGAGCCCGTGAGGGAAGTGATGAGGGGCGGGCCTTCTCAGACTTCTCAGAAGGCTCGGAAATCCCCTGGCCTTCTGAGCAGCTTTCTGGGACTTCCCCGAAGACACGGACAACTTCTCCGAAGGCGCGAGAGCTTCTGAAACATCCCGCCGCCTTCTGAGAGGGCCTTCTCCTTCTCGCTTCCCCCCCCTCGCCCGCCGCCGCAATTCTCAGGGCAGCCCCGCCTCGAGCGGCGCATGGGAAATGTGCAGCCCGAAACGCATTTTTGATTTGCGGCCATCACGGGCGTTATGGGGGGGAGGGGGGGGGGCGACGAGGGGAATAATGCTCAAGTCGGGCCTGCCCTCCTACAGGGGGATTTTCAACGAAAAATGAAAATACCCCTAACATAGTCAAACAAGAATGAAAAAATAGTCTGGGGCATTTGTGGGACATGTGTGGGTATTTTTGTTATTTTCCGTCGAAAATCCTCCTGCAGGGGGGACACGCCCGACATAAAATAACGCAGCGCCCCCCCTCCCAAACTGCGGTCCCTGACGCACTGCGGCAGCGCCGGGGGCGCACGAACTCCGCCGAAGACCGCAAGAAAGGCCGCCGCGGGCCGAGGGCCGCCGAAGGGCGCCGAGGGGCGCCGAGGAGCGCCGCAGGCCGCCGAGGGCCGCCGAGGGGTCGCCGAGGGGCCGCCGAAGGGGCGCCGAGAGTTGTGGCGCGGCCGCGGCGGGCGGGGCGCTCCTCGAGCGGTGCCGCGGCCTGCGGCTCAGCGAGCGGGCGCGGCGCCGCGAGCCGCTGCGGGATCGGCCCCTGCAAGGCGGCGGGGGAGGTGCGGGGCGGCCCGGGGCCGAGGAGACCCTCCCAGGACTACAGTCGAGGCGTTGACCTAAGGAACCCCGAATTAAATACGAAACCTTTTTTTAGAATCCAAGCTTCGACTTTCCATCGAAAACTTGAGGGACACCCTAGGCGAAGTCTGGAGCAATTTAAGGCGAACCCATCCCCAACGCAAAAGGGTTCCATTTCCAACGCCCGGGCAATCTGAAAACGGATGTCCATGTCCGATAAGCGAAGCTTTTGTACGCGCACACGAGGTATGTCCAACGCGAAACTACAACATGCACGTGGGTCGGCCGACCTACGTTCCGGGGCCGACACCAGCAGCGGGAAAAACGATTGTATTGGACGGGGCAAAGGAGGCATGAACTATCAGTGGGCTACCTTTTTCGACTCTAGTGCTCAAGCGCATCTGCCTGTGCCCCGTCGACTGCAGAACGCAAGCGTGCCGCAACCAAAATGGCCCCATGCACAATTGCAGCGGGGTAGGAAACCCCGGTTTCGGCACCTTCCGGGAGTTTCTGGTCTTCCTGTCGTTTTTCTTTCTTGGGTTAGTTCCACTCCCCGCTGTGCTGGCCAAGTATCGTTTGATGGCGCAGCGCTTAGCCTCGCCGCTAGTTAAGCCGGTTGCGAACCAGGGGCTGCTCTTGGCTTCTCACGGTTGCATGGGGATCCCTGGTTTTGCTTTTGGCGATCGATCCCCTGGACCACAAATATGCAAGTGACGCCTTTGTCATTCGGCCATATTTGACCTTGTCAATGGGTTTCTCCGAAGGTCTGCGGGCGTCCCGCAGTTTGACCCCTGGGGGAGCGTTGGCGCCAATATCCCCATGGCGACCTCGATGGTTAATCGTCTTGTTCCGACAATCGAAATTAATTTCGCTCCGCTCCTTGTCCATGGATTTGCGCGATTGGCTCATCAACCGTTCGCAGGGCTTGACATAAGTTGCAACCTGGGAACAAGTTTCGTTTGCCATCTCTTCAGATGGCTGCCCCCCCCCCAGTGGAGTTCACGGTGGAGAGACATCCATTTGTCATGGAAAATGCAAGTCCTCGTCCGGGCGGCTCTTGTTAATGTTAACCATCACATGTCGGATGCATGTATGAGTCCCGCGACTTATTTAGAATGGGCAATAGTAACATGCCAGGGCTGGATTAAAATAGTCATCCCGGGCAAATGCGGCCCCTCCCGTGATCCGTGCGCACGAACAGCCAAATGAACATGAAGCGTGTCATCTCGCGCCCCGTGGGTCGCCGCATCTCATTATGGGCATCTTGCTCCATTCGGTCAACCTGGGCAATGAGACGCGTCTGCCGCGCGGGCAAATCCTCCCCTGGTCGCGCGCGGGAGAACTTCCCTGTCAAATCCGAAGCGATCATCGCGTCGAGGCGCAAGAGCCGTGCCCTCACGGATAAATAAGGCCCACTCAGGGAATTGTGCTTGGGTTTGGGTGATGGTGAACCCTCCATCATGGACTGGTTGGCCTTTGTTTTCAAGTTCCTCCTTCTCCTTCCGAATTGTCTCCAGCAGATCTGCCTGTTGCTTTATGAGAGTAGCCATCCTCGGCGCTCGTTGCTGGCATCGTCTTCGCCCCGCCGCAAAGCTTTCCTGGGCGGATTCTGCATCTGCGCCCAACTTCTCTCGAACGCGTTGACCGCGGCGCTCGGTCGTCGAGCCAGGGTGGTCCTTGCTGCGAAACTTGGAGCAGTGGGCGCACTTCTCATGTTCTGGCATCGTGCAAAAGTGGCAGATCTCCAAACTTCCAGAAGCTGTAATGATGCGCCTTCACCCTACCCGTAGAGCGGTAGGTCTGCGCGATCATCCGCTGAGGCTGCCGCAGTGGCCGCGCCGCTCGGCGATGGCGGACGCGGGCTCCTGGGCGTGCATTGGAGGCCCCATCCCGCAGTCTGCTTGGTCGGACGTCCTCGCGTCGCGGGCTGAGCCTGCAGCGTCGAACATATTTCCCCAGCGCCGCAGGTTAAACCTGCAAGGGGAAAGAGCTGGAGTTCCCATCGCTGAGCCAACCCATTGCGAGCCCGAGTCTCTCGTCAGGCCTTCAGTTCTATATGTGACTGGTTTTCTCGACTATACCATCGTTAATTCTCGTCCACTTCCTTCGCGCCCCCCCCCCCCTGCGCTGCGGTGGCAGATTGCCCCCGACGCTTCGCGTGCTTACAGCAGCAGACGCATTAATCATGGGCATGCCGCGTCATTGCAATAGCCTGGGCGGCCATATTTTGAAAGGCGCTCGCGCTCAGAAGTCGTCGCCACTTCTGCGGCAGACTGCACTGTCATATTGCATATGCAATGCTTTTTCTGTTCTTGCCCCCGCAATGGCCTTTACCTTTTCAAACATCATCAAGTTGGCAGATAAGTTTAGCGGAGGCAGAGCTGACCTGCCTTCAATGTTGCGTGGCGACTGAGCTGAGCCTGGCGCGCGAGCAGTGCCATCCTTCCTCGCCGTTCAGCACATGCCAAAACGGTTCACCGCGTTGACGCACGAATTCTTGCATGTGAGCAATCATCCAATCACGAAGCCCCTCTTCCCGATGATGCGTTGTTCTCTGCCTCTTCCTGTTGCTGGGCGACAGCGGCAAGACGTTGGCAATTAGGTTCTGTCGCTGCAATGCGTTCTGGGCAGAGCCAATTGACGCTGCAACGAGGAAAGATGCGCGAACAGAACCTGCGCGCAGGTCGACGGCGCTGGCGACCTGCCATTTTCACGTTTCCCGGTCATCGGTTTTCTGCCGCGGCCTGACACCGCGGCCCCTGCGCCCGACGACGTGCCCTGATCGAGACGCGACCTGATGACGAACCACGGGGGCCCTGACTGCTCCTCGAACTCCCGCGGGATCTCGGCATCAACTGGGAGATGAGAGTCTGACGCCTGGCATTCGAAAGAGGGGACATGGGTTCACATGGTGTTCCCTCAACTTCTCACATCACGGGGCATGTGCTAGCTCCTGATGGGCTCCCCGTGAGCATGGCAGCCTGCGTCGGCGAACCCTGTTCCACGCTGATGTATTCCTGTCCATTGGGTCTCTTCGCTGCTGGGGCTTTCCCGTCAACGTCTCTTGCGTGCTACAAGGAAATCAACGGCGCGCGTTCCCCTACAAACTCTGAGCATCGACCGTCGAACCAAATCCATGTGAGCAATAAAGTCGCGTCCGGTGATATCGCCTTGAACCGTGCAATGAACTAAAGCCGACGCTTCTCCCGAATCTCATACAAACAGTTCATCCACGAGTGAGATTTGAACAAGTTGTGGGGGCGACTGACCAACCAAGTCTGATGCGGTGTTCTTTCCAGACTCTCGGATATTGCATATTGCGCATTCACGTTGGCAGCCTCGTTTGTGTCCATATGCGCATCAGATGCAATCATTGGCATTCGGCTGGTTAACAAGTGTTTGCTATGCTAAAGGAAAAGCGTCCTCTACAAATGTGGAATGTGAAGATGAAGTAATGTTGGTCTCAGCAATGCTCCGAACCCCTCGTATCGCCATGGCGGTAATGTCGTTAAGCTAGAATGTAAAAAATATGTGCACGGGAAAACGGAGACGACGACGCGACGACGACACGGTCGGCGCTCTTGTTTTCCACGCGCGGAACTGGCCCGAGGTGCCGGCTTGATCCTTGTTGGAACAGCTGCGGGCACGCAGCGCGGCGCGTCGACAGAGAGGCGGCGGCGGCACAGAGACGGCGGAGGAAGAGGTTTCAATAACTCAACACGCGGCCGGGCTCCCAACGGCGGCGCGCCATTGAGCATCGTTCAACCGATCCTTATCTCGATGGGCGTGGTGTGGGCCCTACTGGCCGGGTTACCCCCCGCTGGGCGCGGATATAAGTTTGTTCCGTCGGGTTTCGAAGGGCATATCCCCGCTACGAAAGTTTATGCATGTTGGTTAACATTGACATGCCTGGACGGTTTGATGAGGAGTACTACGGGAATGACTGTTATGTGTGCTCTCATACGGGGAGATGTTCAAAACTGCGTGGGAAACAGCCAAGAGTGATTTTCCCTTTTGAATTTTGTGAAATTATATGGGAGAGACACTTTACACCCAGGAAAACCCCGAAATGCTCTCCCGCACAACCACGCCGAAGGCTGCCGTGCTAGGGAACTACGGGGGGAAAATGGGGTCCCGTTCGGAGACGCCCGAACCGTCAGTGCTCAAAATGAATACCTTTCATAACGGGTGACGGGGGGAAGAGGGGTCCCGTTCGGAAGCGCCCTAGCCGTCAGTGCTCAAGATGAATACCTTTCGCACCGGGTAGGTATCCCCAGCTTGGGCGGTGAAAATGCGGGTCTGGATAGAAATGGGGATGGGGGTCGGTCGAACGATCCTGAGTCATTGCTGCTCCTCTCCCCTCTCGAACTGTTCCTCGCTCTTCTGCTCCTGCGCGTGTTGCTGCCGCGGCTGCAGCAGCAGCTGCCGAGATCGCGTCGCCGCTGCCGCCGCTCCTGCTCCTCCGCACCCACCGGTGCGAGGCGAAGGCTTTGCGTTAAGTCGAGCCTGTCCCTCTACAGGAGGCATCTTCAAGAATAGTCAAGAGACGCTCTGGAAACGATTTCTGGACAATCTTGGGGCATTCTAGGGGCAAGTTTTGACAATCGTTCGTTTTTCGTTCGGAATCCGCCTGTAGCCTGTGGGAGGACACGCCCGACCTGAGCTTTGCGTTGGTTCGCCGCCTCGGGAGCCAAGTGCTCCGTGGCTCCAGAGAGCCGCGGCTCCGGAGATCGCTGGAGCCTCCAAGGGTCTCATTTGGGCGCCCGAGTTGTCCGAGGTAACTCGGGTCCGGGGCAACACGGGTGTGGATTCCCGCGAAAACGAACCCGAGTTCGCCCTGACCCGAGCTGCCCCCGATGATTTGGGGCTCTGGACGCCCCGATTATCCGGGGTAGCTCGGGCCTGGGGGAACTCGGGATCGGAATCCCGAAAGACGAACAAGAGGTAGCCCTGCCCCGAGTTACCCCTGATGATTCGGCGCTCTGAGAAATAGCGACCCTACGCGCTGGCTTAAGCGGGACGCTGGCGCGGCACGCCACACTGCTGGACGCGAGGGCGCTCACGCGCAGCCTCACGCGGGCAGCTCACGCGCCCACGTCGGCGAAGAGGGCTCCCTTTTTCTGCGTCGCTCAGGTGTCCCGGGGTCCCAGGAGGCAGCGGGTCTGGATATCGCTGCAACTCCCAATTGAGCAGGGGCCGACCGTCCAGGCACTCCTATAGGCTTACCACGACATGTTCATAGAACCCAGAAGTGTTCGAAGCACAGAATTACTGTTCTCAGCACATAAACGCGATGTGTCAAAACCAGACAGGCTGCCCTCTCTAAGAGCATGTGGTACAGACGGCAAAATGTGTTTACAGCATTCTTTGGTAGGCCTATAGGCGAGCCAGGACGCTTCGCCTCTTCTTGACCCAAAGCTGTGGGACAAACCAATGTCCACCACCTCTTGGGGCCCCGGGACAGTGGCTCCCCAAGCTCGGGCGCACGCTGACACGGATTTTTGGAGTCCCGAAACGGTGCGGTGACAGACCGTGCGGTGACCTCGGAACCCCAAGAGTCCGTCCCGGAGCGGGCCTCGCCGCGAAGCCTCGCTGCCTTCATCCGCTCGGAATTTCCCGCGGCAGGCAGCGGATACGCAGAGACTCGGGCCTCGGCAGTCGTCCCCCCTCCTCCAACGACAGGGGCACGAGGAGGGGCCCGAGCTGGCCTGCCGCCCCCGCCGCGGCCACCCCGTCCGGTGACCTCGATGTTGATGGCAACCATCTTGCCCTCCGCGCGCGAGGAAGCCGCGACATGCGCGCCCCCCGCGTGGACAGCCCGCAAGCCCTCGCGCTCCACACTGCTGGTGCTGTACATAAAAACAAACAAACAAACAAACAAACAAACAAACAAACAAACAAACAAACAAACATACATACATACATACATACATGCATCCATACATACATACATACACACATACACACATACACACATACACACATACATACATACATACATACATACATACATACATACATACATACATACATACATACAAACAAACAAACAAACAAACAAACAAACAAACAAACATAACATACATGTATGCATGCATGCATGCATGCATACATACATATATGCATGCATGCATGCATATATATAGAGAGAGATATGTGTAACGTACACGTATGTGTATACACGCCGGCCCCTTGTGGGGCCACCAGGCTGCAGGCCAAAACTTCGCAGTTTCCTGTACCAGTTGCAGCTTCCAGTTTCCACTGTTACAATTATGCTTCTTACTGCTTGCTGTATTCCTTGCTGATGGACCGCGCGAGGGGGGGAGGCCCAAAACGGGCATTTGCACCAGGCCCTGAGCGTGTTGTCTGAATTGCTGGGGTGGGTAACAACTGACTGACACCCCTCACGCAGATCGGCGGGATCAGGGTCCAAAAACACGTGGGATTTGCCACACTTCTGAAGTTCGGTGGCACCCCTCACGCAGATCGGCGGTGTCAGAATCCAACAACACATGGGATTTGCCACATGACTGAAATTTGCTGGCACCCCTCACGCAGATCGGCGGGGTCAGGGTTTTAAAAGCACGCAGGATTTGCCACGTTTCTAAAATTTGCTGGCACCCCTCACGCAGATCGGCGGGGTCAGGGTGGAAAACGCACACAGGATTTGCCACATTTCTAAAATAGGCTGGCACCCCTCACGCAGATCGGCGGGGTCAGGGTACAAAAACACATAGGATTTGCAACATTTCTGACATTCGGTGGCACCCCTCACGCAGATCGGCGGGGTCAGGGTCCAAAAACACGTGGGATTTGCGACATCTCTAAAATTCGGCGGCACCACTCACGCAGATCGGTGGGGTCAGAGTCTAAAAACACATGAGATCTGCCACATGTCTGAAATCCGGCGGCACCCCCCACGCAGATCCGTAGGGTCAGGATCCAAAAACAGAAGAGATGTGCCACGTGTCTGAAATCCGGCGGCACCCCTGATGCAAATCCGTATGGTCAGAGTCCAAAAACAAACAGGTCCCGACACAGCTTCACGGCGGCGCCCAGACCTCATGACTTAGCTTTTGCATCTCCCATTATCCGAGACAGGGGGCCGGCGGCATGGGGCGAAGCCCTTACGGATATATATATATATATATATATATATATATATATATATATATATATATATATATATATATATAGATATAACATGTATCGGGGTACCGGGGGCGGGGGCCCTCGCCCAGCTGCCCCTGGTCGCCATGGTGGCTTCAGGTCCCCCGGAGAGTACCGGCCTTGCCGCGAACCTGCCTAGAGAGCCCCAGGACGAGTCCGGAGTGCCCCCACAGGCCCCCAAGACGCCCCCAGAGGCCACCGAAACGACCAAGATGAGCCCAAGACGGCCCAAGCGGCCGCCAAGACGCTCCAAGAAGTCTCCAGGAGGTCTCCCCAGGGGACCCCGAGGAGGGATAATTGTTTATCTTCCATAATGTTTTTCTACGTTTTTGGCCTTCTCGCCCTTTCGCCTTCCCGACGCTCCAAGACGGCCCAAGAGGCTCGCCAGGACACCCCAAGACGGCCCAAGAGGCCCCAAAGACGCTCCCCGGACGGCCCGAGAGACACCCAAGACAGCCCACGAGGACTCCACGGCGGCCCGTAGAGGGGCCCCAGAGGACGATCAAGCATTCAAACATCCAGTTTTCCGCCCCGAGAGGGCCCCAGGAGGCTTCAAGAGGGCCCGAAGAGGTCCCCAGAGGCCCTCAAGAGTTCCCAAGTAGATCCGAAGAGACCCCAAGAGGCCCCCTAAAGACTCCAAGAGACAGGCCCCCAGAGACCCCCAAGAGACCCCCAAGAGCCCCCATGGAGCATTCAGGCCAACACAAGCCGAGGAGGCCCCGCCCCACCCGCGCGAGGCATTCTTCGCCCCCATGGGAAAGGGATCATGCGCCGCCGACATCGACGACGACGATCGCGCCAGGTACAGAGGGCAGGGATCCAGGGCCCAGGGTGCGTGCGAATAGGGCGCAGGAGCGCATGAGAATGATCAGAGACCCCCCCATGTGGTGGGAGAAGACTCCGCCGCCCTCGTGGCAAGAATCTCCCCCCCTCAGCGCACAGGCCGTGCCCACAACTAGAACCTGAGCGCGCGCGAAGGTTCCAGTATATATATATATATATATGTATATATATATATGTGTACACATACATCTACATATACATTATGTATATGTATATCTGTATATATGTTTGTGTGTGTGCTCCAGCTTGCCGTTGGCGGGCTGGGGCATACTAGAATGCCAGGTTCAAACGACGAAAAGGCTACTATAATGCGTCTGGCCCACGATGCGTCCTGAAATCTCAAGCATCTCTGGCTGCCTTCGTCTCTGGAGCCCGCGCACGACGGCAGGAACACCTGGAACTTGTGGGACGCATCTCTGGGAATGACCTCCTGCTCCTCTGACTGTCGGTTGTCTGGCCGAGCGGTGCTTTCTTGGGGGTGACTACAGTCGAACCGTATCATAAGGATGCGAGGTAAGGATGCAAGGGCCTCGGATGCCAATGTGAACGCTGTTCGAACGAGGCTGGCCAGCGAAAATCGCCAAGGATGGGCCGAAGCGGCAAGGATGCAAGGGTACCCTTGGGAAGGCTGCCCAGCCATATTACGCGGGTTGACTGGAGCCTGAGCGACTAAAAGAGACGGGGCGTGCTCCTGCTCCTCCTCCTCCTCCCTCCTCCTCCTCCTCCTCCTCCTCCTCCTCCTGCTCCTCCTCCTCCTCCTCCTCCTGCTCCTCCTCCTCCTCCCCCCTCCCCCCCGCGCGAGAACACAACTCGGCCCTGTGCCGCGGCTTCAGCAGGTCGCCGGCGCTGCACGCCGCGCGGAGAAGAGGGGGCGCTCACGCCCGACCCTGCGCGCAGGAAACTCACGCGCGTCGGCGTGTCGACCGCGCTTTCTGCTGTCGCCCACCTCCCTCCTTCGTGGTAAACGCTCCTCCTCCTCCTCCTCCTCCTCCTCCCTCCCTCCTCCTCCTCCTCCCTCCTCCTCCTCCTCCTCCTGCTCCTCCTCCCCTCCTGCCTCCTCCTCCACCTCCCCCCCCCCCCCCCCCCCCCGTCCCGCCCCCCCCGCGCTGTTATCTCTTATCTGCCCCCCCTTTTCGGCCCCTGGCCCCGCAGCGGCCCAAGACCAGCCCCAGGAGCCGCCCGACGCCAGCCCGAGCGGGGCCAGCACGTGAGGCTCCGAGGAGCCCGAAAGGAGCGCCGAACGAGGCCTCCGAGCATGCTTTGGGTCCACAGTGTTCGCCTTTTCGTATTCTTGGTCCCCGGGCTTGCGATGCGCATCGGACGCCTCAAGATGGCCCAAACGGTCCCCGAGAAAGGCCCAACCGGGCCTTAGTAAGCATCGTCTCGGGCTCCAGCGCGGACGCGCTAGTTGACTGCCGCTGTAGCCGATTCACCCAAGTGATTGCGCCGAGGGGGACCACGGGGCTCCGCGCAGCAGGCAACGGAAACCCATGTTTGATGTCTTCGTGGACGTCCTGCTCGAGCAGCACAGCAGCAAGATGCGATGTATGCATGGAAGCACATATGTAGTATACATATATAGATGTGTAATACTACATGTTTGCATACATGCATACATACATACATGTATGCATCTACACATACACACAAACATACACAAGCCTACACATACACACACATACAGGCACATACACACATACATACATGCATGCATACATGCATACATTCGTACGCATTCATGCAATCATTCAAACATACAAGCATACACCCATACCTACATACATACATACATACACCCAAACATACTACATACATACATACATACAGACAGACATACATACATGCATACATACATACATACATACAGACAGACAGACCGACCGACAGACAGACAGACATACAGGCATACATAATTGCATGTATCCATACATACACACATACATACATACATTCATACATGCATGCATGCATACGCATACGCCTACGCCTACACATACGCATACGCATACGCATACGCATACGCATACGCATACACATACACACATACATACACACATCATAATACATTGAACCATACATGTACACTGAAATGTATATGGCCACTTGCGTCTTGAAGAATCACCCGCGGCCGGGCATATTTCACCCGTGCTGGGGGCTGAACAACAACTCCCTCGGATTACCTGAGACGGAGGGTCAGCCGCGAGGGCCTGGCGGGGCACACGCGCGCACACACACACAATCAAAAGCACGCACGCGCACGCACGCACGCACGCGCAGGCACTGGGGAGGACGAAAGGGTTGGATAGCAAAGGGCAAGGTACATAATCAGCTCACAAGGCTTGTTTTCCTGGCGCCTCCTGGCGCCGGGCGGCGCTCATGCATCGAGGAATGGCCTGGCGGTAGGGCCGAAACCAGCTGCGCGTAGCAGACTTCGTACCTCCCGTTCGTCCAGCCCGGGAAACGCGCGACCCCGGCTGGCCAAAGACAGATGACCCCCGCCAGCCGGGGACAAGTGTCACCAGCCGGCCGGGGACAAGTAACCCCGGCTGGCTACTGGTGACCCCGTGGCCGGGGACAGGTGAACCCGGCCGGCCGGAGACAATTGACCCCGCGGCCGGGGACGGGTGACCCGCTGGGGACAGGTGCCCCTGGAGTGAAAGACTTGAAGGCCCGCTCGAACCTATCTCATCTATCACAAAAGTTTCGCATACATGTTTCTCATGAAGAGATGTATCATGATATGTGAAAGAGCGTGTT